GGCTCTCCAGTTTGTCCCACCCCAGAAACAGGAGGAACACAGAGAATTACAGACCCACATCAGGAGGGTTCATGGCCAGGAAGCCCAAGCCAAGAGGCCACAGGTACCCCCCTCAGGCTGCAGTGTCCTGCTGCCTCAGGGTGAGGCTTGTGGTGCTTGGTATTCACAAGCCTGAATATTTCTTCCTCACCAAGGTTTGTGGTGCTCCTCAAGGGATCTCTGTGCTGCAATATAACATCCCTGTATAGGGAAATTGTCTTAAGTAATGGTTTCTGCAGATTTTTTTTAAGGTATATTTATCCTATCTTTTATTGGAATAGAATTAAAGCAAAATTAGAAACTAAAATAACTTTAATTACGAATTTCATGATTCGGTATGTTGTAAATCTTTCAGCATAATATTGTGCCATAAAAATGCTATTTTGTGATAATTATTATTATTATTATAATTAATGTTCCTTAATTGCTGATGTCGCAGGCACGTGTTGTCTCCCAGGTTTTCCTGCGGAGCTCTGGAGGAGCTCTTCCACGGCGGGGGAGATGCAGAGGATCCAGGAGGTGCCTGGGCAGGCACTGGCTGTGCTCCCATGGGTGGATGTCCATGTGCCCGAGCGATGCTGCCAGTTTATCCCACCCTGTGTGTCGCTCACAGAGCTCCAGACAAGGAGGATGCCACAAGCTGTGAATGACGCCTCTGTCCCAGGCTTTGCTGTGCTCATACACACACTCATGGTCACCCACGAGCTCCCTCCAAGAGGGAGAGGGGCTGAGTGTGGTTTGAGGGCTCTGCCTTTGGCCCAGTGAGAGCACCCCAGGGTGCCTGTCTGTCCTTGCAGGGGTGCTGCAGATACGTGAGAGGAGGAGATGCTGGCTATGAGCAAGGGGAATATGTGATGGGGGACTAAGACTGGCCAGATGGAGATGGGGAGAAGGCAGTGGGATGGAAAAATGATGGGATGGATGCAGTGGCCGGACCAGGGTTTAGCAGCTCTCCTCAGCGTCCCTTGTCAGCCCAGAGGATGCTGCTGGGGCTGGGAGGCAGCAGCAGAGTGGGTCTTTGGGCCCAGGTGCGAGGGAGGAGCAGGAGCATGGGGATGGAAAACGCCTGATGCCAAGTGCCTGAATTTTTCATGTGACCCAGAGGCCTCACTTGTGACAGCATGGGGCTGCCCAGGCCCAGCTGAGAGAGGGAAGGCATGAAAAGAGCCACTGAACCACCTGCTTCACAGTGGTGAGTGTATATGGGATGAAGCTGAAACCAGGATACATTTTTAATGACTCAGGCAGGGCTGGGTTTCTTTAAATAAGGCTAGACAATAAATATGTGCTCCTGAAGCTGTGTAGTGCACCACAGATGCATTATTTACAGCAGCTTCTTCCTTGTCCATTTTAATTTTACATGGGTACTGGAGAAAGGGAAGGGACTCCTTGGTGTCTCAGGGCCACCCACTTGCTCCATGTGACAGAGGTGAATTTAAAGGATTTGGTGTTGATCTTTCCACTGAGTTGAGTCATGGGGAAAACAGTCATCCTAGAAATGGAGCCTGGCACCTGGGAGTGGAGGGAGCTATGGCCTGAAGTTTTGTCTGACTGATGCATCATCCGGTCTTGATAGTGCCATTTTCTGCCTGCTCCCCATGGATGAAATGCAGGGGGGATGTTCTGAGGCTGCTGCAGCCTTCCCTTGTGCCTACACATGCTCAGCACAGAATCTCTGCTCCCTGCACTGCTGCAGGAGCAGAAAGCCTTTGGGAAGAGGACAGTGACACAAGTGAGCAAGAAGGTGAAGCTGCTCCATGGAAATGGTCCTCAGCTGACCCTGGCAGAGGAGGGTATGGAGCAGGTGGGATAAACAGCAGGACAGTGGGCTGTGGCAGAGCAGGGGAGGAGGAGTGCTCCAAAGGACACAGAGTTTCTGAGTGTCTCTTCTGCTGGCTGTTGCAGTGGCTCCCGGTGGGATGGGTGTCCCTGCGCCACGTGGCAGTGATGCCACATCCCTGGTGGTGCATCTTGGAGACTTTGTGGGCCTGGGGAACGGGGCAGTGACTTTTCCCTTATCTTTAACATTGCCCTGACTCAGTCTGTGCTTGGTGCACCTTGGGCGGGGATGTCGGGCTGCCAGGGGAAGCACAAAGTGGTTCCAGCACTCCTGAGCGGCTGCTAAGGTGGGATCAAAGTCTAGGAGCTGATGGACATGAGGCTGCTTTCCCCAGCACTGCCAGGCCTGGGAGGGTTGAGATGGCAGCTTGACGGCTTGGAAAATAGGCTGAGATGAAGGAATATCAATAGGAGAGCGAGCTGTTCCTGCCGAACAGCCCCGGGGCAGCTAACGTGAAATGCTGGTTGTCTCAGAGGAGTTGACAGGTGTCTGCATCAGGCATCCTGCTAATTAAGCACCGTCATGAGTCACAGGGCTGAGGGATGAAGGAGCTGGGAAGGAGCTCAGCCGGAGCAGGTATGGCCAGAGGGGATCTCTGCAGGACCTCCCTGCCCGCCGGGGATGGGCTGGTGCGAGCCCGACTTGTCGGCGGGTGGATACACAGTCTGGGAGCTGGCAATCAGCTTTGAGAAGAGCAGAGTGAGCCATCCCACCGGCTGTCTGTCCTCCCCCTTTGTGGCTGCGTGTCCTTCCCTGGCTCCCATGTGCTGGCACTGATGTCCAGACCAGTCTCCTGTCACACACCTGGCAGGGCCCCCAGAGCCTCTCCCACAGCTCCCAGCACCCATCCCATCAAACCTCTTCCCAAATCAAGGTGTGCATCCCTGCCAGTGGGACAGCCTGAGAAAACGGGGCTGTTCCCAGACCAATTTCTCTCCTGATCCCCTTCAAGATCCTCTTCTTACTGAAATGAACAGAAGTGCTGCCAGCCCAGGGAGGCCTCTGCCAGAAAACTCCCAGGAACATGAGCATGGTGGGGTGGACGAAGGGGCTGCCTGCCTCTTTGTGGACACCGGTGATCCGGAGGGGGCCTGTAGCAGTGGGCAGAGGATGAAAGCCGTTCTGGCAGATAGCAAAGTGCCTTCCTTTCTGTGCAGAACCAGGAGTGAAGGAATGCTGCCACCCTGGCCACAGCCCCTGTGCACCCTGCACCTGCGTGCCTCTCCAGCACCCTTTGCCCACTGCCCTTCGTGCCTCTGCGGCTGCCATCCCCTGGAAAATGGCTCTATTCATTACCCATTTTAATTCCACCCTGGATCCCCAGAGCTCTGCAGACACAGTTTGTTATCCTGGCTGTCAAGAAGCTTAAAGAGCTGCCGATGCCTCCTGGAAAACTTTGACAAGCCCTCTGGTCAGACCCGGTGCTTCTCCCCAGCCTGGCTGCTCAGCCTTTCTGCTCCTGAGGCTGGATTAGCAAAGATGTCTGTGAGGGTGGAAGGAGGGAAAAAACCCCATTGTTGCCATCTGGGCAGAGTGGATCCCTCCTGGTGCCTGTGCCCACCAGGGGGATTGCCTGGGACTGTCTGGGCAGAGCTGCAGAGCTTGGCTGTGAAGGTCTCCAAAGCCCACATTTGGATTCCAGATTGTTCTCTGGGCCAGACACATTTCACAGCCTAAAACCCTTTGGGCTGAGGCCACTGGGTTTCTCTCATCCCTGTGTGTTCAGTGCAGGGGGTTTAAAGGGAGGTTGCAGGTTCTTGGGGGTTCATTTTCTGAAAAGTTTTCTGCCTGTGGATGATAACCAAGGGAAGTGACACTGTCTTGACTCCTGCACTGTGTAGAACTCTGCCTTTGATCAGAATATTTTAGCAATCAAAGACTGCAAACAGTAGAAAAACTGTGAATTTGTCTGATTATTTTTGTTCCCTCAGCACTCAGCCTGGGAGAGCAGAGTAGAGGAGCCCCTCCCCATCTCTCTCCAGTGACCTAATCCTCTCCCGGTTAGTCTCTGGTTTTGACAAAGTAGTTGTCAGGCTGCCTTTAGAGAACAAGATGCCCCTCAGTCTCTCTGGTAACATAGGCAAAGTGTCCCAGACACCCCAAGAACAGTTTGTGTCTCGCTGTGATTTTGGTCGAAGCTGGGTAAGAGGCACCGGGTCAGCGTTGAGGGCGATGAGAAGGAGCCGGGTGAACCCCTTACCCTTCACTGCTGGGATTTGGGTCCAGCTGCCTCCGGAGCCATCCTCTGCCCCCAGCCCTTCCTCCCAGCACCCTGCGGAGCTCGGGAGTGCTTTTGAGGTGCCACTCAAGCCTCTGTCCTCGGGGCACAGCCAGGCTGTCAGCCCGCGGCGCCTGGCGGGGGGCGGCGGGGATGAGCGGGGGGGCTGTGGATGAACAGAGCAGCCCCCGGGGAGGCAGGATGAAAGGCCGAGCTTCCCGAGATAACGAGAGTGTCTCTGCGGGGGTGAGGTGCCCAGGCATGGGGGGAAGCCATGTGAGTGACAAGCGTGTCCCGGTGCCCGCCGGGCTCACTGGAATGAGCCCTGGGACCAGCCATGGGAGCTCTGCGGGTCACTGCGAGCCTGAGGCTGTTCCCTCCCAGTGCAAACCCGGGATCCTCGCTGCCAGCTCCCTCCTGACCCTTGCTGGGCACGGGCATGGTGGTTCTTGGGTTTTCCTTCTGCCTTTTTAGTCCCTTCTCTCAGGGCTGGGCCGCCCTTGGTGTATCAGGGAGGGGCTGGTGGTGCACTCCCTGTTCTTTCCTCACCTTGGTTTGTCACTCACTGTGTGTATGTGGACAAACACATCTTCCAGCAGAAATAAATCGCTCCAGTTTCCTATCCCAGGGGCACCCAGGAATGGTAGCAGTGGCCCAGGGCTCTGTACTGCTGTGTCACTCAGTCCTGCTCTGGGGAGGGAGAATTCATCCCTCTCTTTTTGCCTCTGTGGCAGGAGATGGCAGCCATGGGACCAAGGTGTGCTGGCACCAGCCCTGGGAGAGTGGATTTAAAAGCAGTAGTGGGAGATTGCCTGAATATCTCTCCCTTCTTTTTATTCGTTTAAGAGGTTTTGCTGTCTCGGTAACTCCCCTGAGAGACAGGAGCAGCAGCCTCTTTGGATGTGAATACCTGACAAGTTTTTAATGTGAAAGGAATTCACTAAATTTAGGCTCTTTGGAGGAAGGGGGGGGAAAAAAAACGAGAAGTGTTTCTTTCAGTCTGGGGGAAGCGATCCAAATCCCAGCCACTTCCCTGCCGGCAGAGCTTGATGATGTCTTCTCTGTCTGGAAAGCTTTTAAGTCTGGGCCCCATGTGTGTCCCTGCACAAACAAGAGGTGGGAGAATGGCAGCCACTGATGCTGTACCCTGGGGGAACGGGCCTGTTCTCAGCTCCTCTGGTCTCCTGGAAATGAATGCTGGTGAGGGCTGGATGGGGAGATAAATGAGAAGAAAACCTTATTGTCCGAGTTGCAGGGACATCATCTTTGCTCTCAGGTGGGCTCTGAGTGAGGTGTGAGCATTGAGATGCTGAGGGTACTGAGGGGAGAGCAGCTCTGCTGTTGAACTCAACCAAACCACCCTTTGTCTCCTCTATTTTCCTCCCTGCTCTCACTGGAGCCTCTGAAGGTTCACTATCTGCTCTGTTCTGGTACTTGAGACTCACCTGTGCCTTGTGCTCTCCTTTCATGTCCTCTCCCAAAGTGCCCTGTGCTGCTCTCCACAGCTTTGGAATTCAGTTCCTCCTGTCAGAGAAGGCAAGGAGCTCCTATGGGTTTGTAGACACACACACCCCTGCTGGGATCTTGCAGAGGATATCTACATGTGTGCCTGCACAAGGTGAGCACATACCTTCCTTCGCAGATGGGGCAGCTCCCAGACTCCCGTGGTGTGTAAAGGACAAAGTGTCCAAAGGACAAAGTGTCCCAAGTGTCCCTGTGTCAAGAGCCAGTGGGGCTAAAGGTCTGGCTGCTTGCAGCCAAGAAAACCTGCCTGAACAAGCTACCTTGCACCGGTTGCCCCTGTGCTGCAGCAAGTGGTGGGGTCCCAGTGAACCAGAACCGTTTACAGCTCCATCTCCTCATGGGGAGCTCTGGAGAGATCCACTCCCTGTGGTTTCCATCCCAAAGGTCTCTTCTGAAATCTGTGGAGGTGCTCATGACAAACACCATTTATTCCTCCTGACTTTGCAAAGGTCCTTCCCTGGTGGAGAGGTGATGGAGCATTTCACTGGGGTCTAGGCAAACACAGGACAGGGGAAAGGCAGGGTGGCACTGCTGTCTCTGGAAAGGGACTCTGCGGCTGGCATGGTGGGTTACAATTGAGCGTGCTTAAAAACGACAAACAACCCCTTCAGACCTGTAATTAATATATTTGGATGTTTTTTATTATTTTTCGTCCCTTTTGTAACTTTAATTTTAGGTGGAGTGGATGCGATTCCAGTGGGAAGATGCTGGATGGACCACCCTGGGGAACGAGGTGCAGGGGAGCGGAGGGCGAGGACGCTCAGCTGGGTGCAGCCCCCTCCTTGCCCCTCAGCCCCCTCCTTGTCCCTCAGCCCCTCCTTGCCCCTCAGCCCCCCCTCCT